TCTGTTTCGTTCGAAATATGGGCTAAAATCTTCGCTTTCATTGCATGAGCTGATCCACTTATTCCCGAAATGTGCGTTCGGATGGGTTTAGTTTTCAAGCCCAAAAATTCTGCACATTCTTTGGTGATGAGGTTCATTTGCGAATCACAGTCCAGTAAGGCCCTTATTCTGCAGCACTGCTCGAAAACATTCGTCACATAAATAACCCCCGTACTCAGTAAGACAGAGTTTCCTGGAAGTGGATGCAAGACTATGTACTGCTTGCTGTATATTGTCACCCGGAGCTTCTTCGGAGGGGTTTGTTTTCCCCTGGTTTGACGGAAAGCAGGTAGTGTCCGTTGGACACTAAGGGTCATTGTCCCTATGGAGAAGGGAATGATGCTTTCGGAAACAGTGGCTGCACGAAAAATTTGAATTGCATTCTCCAGAATGAGTTTTTAGACAATTCACACATAATTTTTTATTTTTGACGATAATGAGCCTATTTTCAACATTCATTTGTTTGAATGCACTACATTTAAAGAGGGTATGGTTTCCTTTACAATGGATACATTTTTTTGAGTTGGAATTAATTGAACCAAAGGTTTATAACAAAAAATATATATTATAATTTTATATATATATTTTTAATATAAAATATTATATATATAAAATTATAAATATATATATTTATATAATAATATATATAATTAAATATATATATAATTAAAAATATTTATATATTTTTAATTATATATATATTTAATATATATAATTTAAAATATATATATATAATTTAAAACCAAAAGGTTTATAACAAAACCTTTTGGTTTTGCACCGATACTGGGTTTAGGAGGAAATTTGATAGGCATATTTTTATGAAGTCTCTTAATCAAACTAGCTTGTTCTCCAAATTAAAGTATTAAAGTTTTTTTTAAAAAAAAATGGTAGCATTATGATAATTAGCCCATTTTAGGCCAAAGGTTCTGTGCATTAGTGAATTTTACACATTATAGGCCATGCCTTTCTTAAGTTTCTTTGGGTTTCTTCCCCCCTCCATTTTAACCTGTGTAATTTTTACATTAAATTTGGATTGCATGTTCATAACAAGAAAAATTATACTTTAGGACTTAATCAAGATGTATTGCATACAAAATTATTACATTTTTAATGTATAACATATGCAAAGAAAATATCACTACAAGGGGTAAGCATTGTTAGAAGAAAAATGGATGAACAAAAGTTTTTTTTTTTTTTTTTTTTTGAGAATTTTATAAAAACACTTTGAAATATTTTATATAAAAGTAGAATAGTATATCCATTTGTGAAATGACTTTTTTAATAATTTTTATGCTCTTAAACAAAAAAAAGTAGGTAAATAAATAAATGCACTTAATAAAAGTCTGTGCAGCTTGGTTTTCTATAAACTGATTCCTGATTGGATTGATAACTTTATTAAAGCCCCGTTCACATGCAACGCTCCTTCACACAGCTGTCGTTAGCAAGAGGAGAAAAAGGAGACATGAAAGAGTTTCGTCTTTAGGACCCGTTCAGAAGACCACCGTCTTCCTTCCCCTTTACACCTAAGCCTCTGTGAACAATCACATCTCCGAATTGGCAGATTTCTAATACTGTTTACACATTTTTAACATTATTTACTGTTGTTAATTTTGTAATCTGTACTTTCGCAACTGGTACCTGAACTTTCGTAATGGTTCCTGAAAAATATATGCTTTTTAATTATTATTATTGTTATTATTATTATTATTTTATAAGCTGTTACTTAGTTCACTCTTGGTGCTTGTCGCTATGGTTAAAAGATGGTCATGGATTTTAAAGCTGCTTCCCGATAAGATATAGAACTCAAACTTTGTACATACACTTGTGGATGGTGTCATGCTTTTGATTTTAAGAGGATTAGATTTTTTTTTCAAACTTAGAGTTGAAACGACTTTTTGCAAATATTAACAAATAAACTGAGAATCTCAGAATTATAGTTTGCACCATAACACACTGTGGAGGAAAAAAAATTAAACGAAATTTTTAGTGTAATTTTTTTAAAAAATATTTTGGGAGAATTTTTGAAAATCGTTCATATTTTTAGACTTTTTGACGCCCATTAATTTTAAAATTTCATATCTAAAAATATATCGGTTACAATCTTCCGACATTTTCACAGCTTATAAAACAAACTTTTCGCATTTAAAGAAATGATATTCCGACATTTTCACAGCTTATAAAACAAACTTTTCGCATTTAAAGAAATGATAAAAGAAATTAATTGGATTATTTTTTTAACATTTTTGAAAGATAAGATATGCAATGAAGCAGAATGGGAAATATTGGTTCTTCTTGGACATCAATTCGAAACATCGGTTTCAAAGTAATAATCTCATTATACCACACTATTTTTATGACATTATTTATGCTATATAAGTTGTTATTGTTGCCAATTGTTAGTTCAGGGTGAGATTGGAGATATTTCTGAGTTAACTTTCTCTTAAGATGCATTTTGCATTCCGTTGTGTTTATCGTTCTTATTAGATTGAAGCATAACTACTGGTTATACTTAGTGAAATTCTAAACACTTGTACGAGTATTTCTGGGGAAAATTCCAGAACTTTGAAGTGTTTATGTTGATAAAATAAATTTAATTAAGCTATCATCGGATTTGAGTGCAATGACAATCATTTACGAATTATTATCAATCTATTACAAACCCGTACACACGCAACAATATTATAATTAATTAATGTATTAAAATTGTTTTGAACGTGTTTTACAAAACAAAAACAGGTAAAGAAAAATTCTGCTTGCGTTTTATGAGTTTTTGCAATTTTTCTGGCCACATAATGTTTTAAAAAAAGGTTTGTAATTTATGTTTATATTTACTAATTGAATAAATAGCACTAGGTTTGATTTATATACATATGTGTGTACTGAAATTCAGTAATAAAATTTTAAAGAATTGAAATGATTAAATGTCTATTTATACAGTTTGTATTCTTTAAACTGCAAATGCAAACTGAGAAACCTTTTGCATTTTTTTCAATAAATACTTTTACGTAAAGTCCTAAAACATATACAGGTATGGACTCAATTTTTTTATTATTTTTACTGCTTATTGAAAATTATATACTTTATAGAAACAAGGATGGGTTTTGCAAAATACTGAAAGGAAAAATTATTTGAAATAAAAACGTGACTGAGATCATATTTGCTTTAAAGATTTTAGATAAAAGTGTATTTTAATTTTTTTCTCAGAAGCTAATGCATTAATTGCAAAATCATTCCTTGAAGTTATTAAGAACACTCTAATAAATACAATAAAAAAACTGGGGGGAGACATTGAAAATTGTGGGAGAAGAAAGACATTTTAATTGTAAAAGTTTTCTTCAAAAATTAAAAAAAAAAAAAAAAATTACTAGCAAAAACTTTTTTCAGCTTAAAATTATTTTGTCTCACAAAACCATTTAATAATATTCATAAAAAGTAGATGAAAATGCTTAATTAAAAAAAAATCATTCAAAAGGTACCAAATCCCTTGTCTTGTTGAAGCCGATATGCACTTGTCTTAACTTTAGTTTTAATTTGAACGACATTTCTGGAATACTTAGTGTCAGATAACCTTGTCTGTATTTGTCTATAATTTTCGTATCTTGTACAGTTCTATCTAATTTTTGGGGCTATGCGATCACATCCCCAGACATCTATCAGCGCGATTGTTTCGCTGACAGTCCAGCGAGCAGTAACTAAAATTAAGTGAAGCGTGCAGTATCATACGGGAAATCTCCCCATTTGCCCTGCTTCTGAGAGGTAAGGAACATTCAACGAAGTTCTACCTGCAATCGGCGAGGCAGTTAATGCTTGTCCCATGTGAACGGGACACGTTGGAAGAACCGGTTTTCGCTACCGGTCGAATCTGCTCTTGTGAACGTGACTAAAGAGATCATTTTTGCTTTTTTTTATACTGCTTTTACCAAATTTTTTATTTTTAATGTCCCATTAATTTCTATACGTTCTATTTTTAAGAACCTATATCAATTGAGTGTCAGTATAAACAAATTTGCATTCATTTTGCAAATTTAAAAATAGTTACGAAGTGTATTTAATTTTAAATTATGCATGAAAAGCTATGAATAAAGAAATTCTTTACCCATATTCACCACATCAACTCAAAAGCAATATTAAAACAGCGGGATCCTCTCTTAAAGTAATAATTTATTTAAAATAAAAAAGTTGCAAATTCGTGATGCATGATTGCTACAAAAGGAGAATTTCGCAGAAAACATTGCATGAACAAAAACTAGTTTCTTTGATCAATATATGCTATAAATGTAGGGTATATTTGTTAATAAGTGCATTTGCATATTTATATTAGGAAAAAAAATTACCATTCTGAATTTTCTAAAAATCAAAATTTGTTTGTTTACATCCAAAAGACCACAGATTAAAGGCATTTATATATTACATGGTCACGGGCTATCAGAATTCTTCTTTATTAATGATTTACTTTGAAAGTAAAGGTCAATTGTTAATATTATTTTACTGTTGATTATAGTGTGGGTTTTTCTTCCTCATATGTTTTAAAATGGCTTTGGAGTAATCATAATAGTATTGAGCTTTCCATTCATGTTTATAAGCTGTGCATTTGTTGAATGTTAAAGCCTAATTTATATTTTGTGCATAGTCATCTAAATTAATTTAATCCTGTCTTAAAACAATATGTTCTGTGTTGTGTTACCTTTTCTTATATTATTTACAGCAATATGTTGCACATAGTCATATAAATTTAATGCTGTCTTAAAACAACATGTTCTCTGCTGCATTACTTTTTTTTACATTATTTACATAACTGGAAATTAAAAGCATGTAAAAAAATGAGTAGCAAGGTTAATTTTATTTCACTTGGTGAAAAGAACAAGTGATCTAAATAAATTTTGTTTTTGTATGTGTTTGTTTCTATTTGTAATTCATATTATATGTTTGGTAATTTTTCTGATAGCTAATGCTTATTTTAGGGTGCAACTCAACAGCAACTACAGAGTGGCATGGAATGGCTCAGAGCTCAGTTGCTTATTAAGAAACATGATTTAGGGTTTACTGGAGAATCCTTACCAGCCATTAAATATGCCGTGGACTCCTTAGGAAATAACCTTGTTATGTCAGAAACAATAGAAATGGAATGGACATCCAGTGATTTAGAAAATAATAATGTAAAAGTTATAGTATATAAACCAGTTATGAAACTTCCACATGTGTTGGAGCTCCAGTATTATGCTAACTCTGTTGTTCCTTTCTTCTTGCTTGAAAGTATGATTGGTAAGTATCAATTTTGATGTTAATTAAAATACTACCGTATAAAAGTCCAAGATCCGGAACTGTTGGAAATTTGGCAATTCCAGATTTTGTATCATCATTTTAAATCTAATTAGATTTAAACTGATGAGCTAAATTTTAGGCACATGTAGACATGACAACATTAAGGCTTCACTTATTGTTTGGTCAGATAGAAAAATGCTAACCCCCTACAGGGCAGGTGCAACCAGTGTGGCCACCTCAAGTATCAGGATTTAGGAAGCAAAAATTTTAAAATTTTAGAATTTTAGAGGAGCACCAAGTAGTAGAAATTAGGGATGATTAAATTTTTAGAATTTAAAAGAGAGGCATTGGACAGTAGAATTTAGATGCGGCAAAATTTTTAGAATTTAGGAAGATACTGGCCAGCAGAATTTAAGACCCGCAGAGATTGCACCACATGGCAAAATGCATAGTGCTGATCCTGCCCTACGCCATAACCACTCAGAGGTAAAAAGTATGATCCTGAACAACATCAGTACAATGTCAATCGATACATTTATTGGCCATAGTGCCGTGTAATTATTGCATTTATTGGCCATAGTGCCGTGTAATTATTGCATTTATTGGCCATCCAGCAGTTTTCAGTTTTGTCCATCGAAAAGTCTGCCTTCTTGCCTGTTGACTGATTGCTTGTTTTTGTGTAGAAACTTTAATTGTAAAAATAAATTGTTTCTTTAATTGTTTTAACTATGTTTGGTGTTTTATATTTTTCTATAGTTTTTAATTTTTAATAAAGATATTTTGAGTTTTTTTTTTTTTTTTTTTCCCTTTTTTTGCCACAAAGTGAGAATGAATTAATTGAATGAGAAATATATCTACTAAAATTCAAGGAAATAAGTTTAAATGGAATCCAGCAAAAAGTGTGTATAATTTAATATTCTGTACAAGGAAGTCATGTGGTGTCCACATCAGATTTTTATTTATTTATTTTTACTATAAAATTTAAGGTTTGAAAGTGGTTTTATTATGGAATACCACCATAAGTAGAAAAAGCCTCTTACTTAAAAAACATCTTGCAAATTTTTTTTTTAGCACAGTACCTAAATCTGAGTCCTTCTTTCATTTTATCTGCTTCAGAACTATTTCTAAACATATAAAGATTTCAATATTTAATAGTATTAATGTAAAGTCCTTTGTTTCTTTTTCATACTAAACAGAAATTTAGATACTATCTTCATTTGAAACTTGGATGTCCAGTATCATTTTGATCGGCATTTAATAACTGGTTGGTTTCATTTCCATCATAATTTAAATTTCTTCCAATCACTTCCACATCAAGTTTTAATTTCTATCATTACAAGTACTAGAACCCTATGGAAAATTAAAGCAATACATCAGATCTCATCTTATTTGGGGCTTTGGCTGGAGCTATGGTTTTGTTAAAAAAACTAAGAAGTACAAAAGTCCAGTAAATTTTTCTTTTTCAGTGCATTAATGAAAAACAGTTAAAGCATCACTAACAAAAAATAGAGAGAATGCTAGAAACAGGATGAGAATATAGCAGGAAAAAAAATAAAAATTAATGGAAAAGCAAGGGTGTGAAAACAGAGAAGAGTCAGGCATTCTCTGATCATGATCCATTGCCTGTATAGTAATTATAGTAGTCAAGTAGAATGTATGATTGATTGGTAAAGGGCTGACGTTAAATCCAAGGATTGATCTGTAAGCTGAGAATAACCATAGGATAATGTATAAGTGATAATTTTCATATCCCTGTGTAACAATTGAGGCATATACCTTGGGTTCATTGTCACCTTACACATGTTTAAGAACTTAAATGATGTTTTTTTTTTTTTTCCCATAATCTTTTTTTTTTTTTTTTTTTTTTTTTTTTTTTTTTTTACGGAGGACATGGACATTATCCCCTTACCATTATGGTTAATCGTTTTTGCGCTACGTCCTCCTTTGTCGAATGAAACCCTCCAATAAAATACTGGAGGGTCACACCATCATCCCTCACCCTATGTCTCAAATTTATTGTAAAACAATAAAGAATTTATACATGGCCAAACAGTGGCAATCTGTGACATAAGGCATATACGTATTTGTTTAACAATATTGGTTAATAACAATAGTTTTAAATAAAAAATTTTGAATACCTAAATATGAAATATTACCTAAATATAAAATTGAATTACTTTGAATACCTAAATAGAAAATTTTGAATACCTAATATATAATAAATAAAATCTTATATGTAATAAATATAATCTATAAAATATAATTGCGCTCCCTCACTATCTTTTACTTTCCTGTATATATAAATCATGATAAAATCTCAATTTTTCCTATTTATTATAGTCTTAATTGTAAATTATGAATAACTGCAACTATGGATACCAAATAAGTGGGTACAATAGCATGACCAAGAAGGCCGTGAGAAATTTACATTTTCCCAAACAGACTCTTTTAAACTTATTGCACTTCTTTGAGGGCAAGGTTTTGATATATGGTGAGGTGGCTTTTCTTTCTTTAAATGGATCAACTCTCATCCATGAGTTTACTTCCCAGAAAAAGTATTCTAAATTTTTGTCACCTCTTAATTTTGTTGCCCGGTGCTTCTCTAAATTCTAAAAATTTTGTCTTCCCTAAATTCGGCAATACAAGCTCTGGTGCTGGTTCTGTGTTTATATGAAAACAAATTAGCTATTCTTAATTTAAATAGCACTAAATGTAATTTTTTGTGTATGAGTATCATGAATAAAATCTATTTCTATTATATGGAAAGAATTTTTTGTTTAATTTTTTCCTTGCGAACTTTTCTTAGAGCACTTAACTTTAATCATCACTAAGTGTAATATCAACATAAAAGACTAACATACTCTTTGTTATTCAATTATTAAAATAAAAATATTGTTTAGGCATCGCTGCCTGAGTCATTACTCAAGTTGTCATATGCTGATAAACACACGACGATGGAAGTGAAATATAATAAATAATGATTCGCAGGTTGGCATCAGAAATATAAAATATTAAGGTAACCAAAAAAGTTCTTGCCATTCTGATATGACATTGGAAGAGTGAACCCCAACATAAAAATAGTCGCGAAACCTGGTGATGAAGTGATTAAGATGGGAGTCTGGACATTGACCAAGAGTATAAAAGCTTGTTGCATCTGTACTTCAAACATAACTCACACAGCTACTTATTGAAATGGACCACATCAAAGGTACTCATTCAGAGTTGTTTGCTGTATGTTTTTAAAGTGGGCCTGTCAGTAGCTGAATCAGGTTGCCGAATTTGCCAGGCCTTTGGGAATGATGCCGTTAATTAACGAATCGCTAGGCAAGGGTTCCAGAAGTTCAGGTCGGGAGATATGTCTCTTAGTAATGCACCATGCAGCGGTCGGCCACAAGCACTGGACAGTGAGGCTCTGAGAGCGGTCACAAAGAGTGACAGTAGCCAGCCTTGTGGTGAGTTTGCTGCACTTTTTCAGGTATCTCATGAAATGATCAGATTTCATTTGCACCACATAGGAAAGGCATACAAGCTGAGCAAGTGGTTATCCCACTCACTATCTGATGCAAACAAGCAACAGCATGTCGCTGCCTGTTTGTCATTGCTTACTCGACCCCCACAATGCATCTATATTTGGTCGAGTACTTACCAGCGATGAAAGTCCAGTATGCACTCCCAGGCCTTCCAGACATTGGTTGTCACCACTGGACCCCATGCCTCAAACTGCGAGACCTCTACACTCACGCAAGATCATGCTGTGTATGTGGTGGACTAGTCGCCAAGTGGTGCACTATGGGCCAAACCATCATAGAAGACCTGTACTCACAGCAGTTGGAATGTGTGCATCAGACACTGATGCATAAAGAGCCAAATGGTCAATCGTAAGGGTGTATTCCTCCTCCATGACAATGCAAGGCCACATGTGGCTCGGGAGGACAGAGACACCATCCAGCGACTGAGCTGGGAGACACTACCCCATCCACTATATTCCCCAGAACTCAGGCCAACAGACTACCACCTTTTCCAATCCCTGGAAAACCATCTTCATGGGAAATCCTTCAACAACTGGCCAAACCTCGAAAATGCTCTCATGGACTTCTTTGTGCCCAAGACTCCTGAGTTTAACTGCGATGACATCGCACAGTTATCCACTCATTGGCAAAAAGCATTGGATGCCGATGGTGATTACTTTGAGGATTAGCGGTGATTATTATTTGTTTTATGATTTTTTCTTTCTGACTGTCCAAAACGGCAAGAACGTTTTTAGTTAGCTTGCAGTAGTGTAAAATCAAATGATGTTTCTATGTAGAATGTAGAAATTTGAGATGTATGCCAAGCAGGTGTGTAGCTACACAGCCAAATTATTGATCACACAAATTTATGCTAAAATAATTGTTTCTTCAATAACATGGTAAAACATGGTAAAAAAAAAACAAGTGCGCATGTATAAAGCATACAAAAAAAAAAAAAAAAAAAAAAAAAAAACCCGGTTGTTGGTTGTTTTGAGGCCTGGATTTTAGATCATTCTGGAAATTGGACATCTGGACCTCGAACTTTGTACTGTATGCGCCCCTGGTATTCATTATTACATCATTCAATTATATAATCCCTTTCATTTTTTTCTATTGAAAAAATCTGCTGGACACTTTTTTGGATATAGGATTTTTTTACTTTATTATGGAAAATAGTTTATAAATTTTATTAATTCATTTATTTTTAGTGAATTTCTGATGAAAAATTATTTTTTTTATACAGTACAAAGTCCATAATCTGGACGTCCATTATCCGAAATGATCTATAATCTGGAGCTCAAAGCCACAAACTTTTTTTTTTGGTATGCTTTACGCATGCACGTTTAATGTATAAGGGACGGTATAAGCTAGGATAAAATTATCTTTACTGATTCTAAGGCATTTCAGTTAATGTTGCAGATTACGCTGTTCCTTAATCTTCTAATTGGATCTGGCTTATTATTTTTTGCAGACTGTTAGAGCAATTTATTAAAAATTAAACTTGAACTTTCGATTATGTCAAAAAGAGTTTCCAATTCTGGAGCTGCCAAAGGATCTACAAAGCGAAAGCATGTTTTGATGTCCATCAAACAAAAAGTGGAACTGCTGTAAAAAATGGATAAAGGCATATCCGTCTCAAAATTATATGAGGAGTATGACATTGGAAAGTCAACTATATTTGACATAAGCAAAAAGAAAAAGGGACATTTTGAATTTTTTGTGGATTCCGACACCCCATTTGCAATGAATAACAGAAAAAGGGTTTGCTGTGCTAAAAGTGATGATTGAATGGGTTAGACAGCGTCGCAACGAGGGCGTACCATTGATGGGTCTGATGCTAATGGTTTAAGCCAAAATATTTCATGAAGAAACAAACTTAAACACTGAGTGCACATATTCGACAGGTTGGTTAACCAAATTTAAAAATCACCATGATATAAGACAATTAAAAATTTCAGGTGAAAAAGCTTCAGCTGATACTGAAGCTGCTGAACAATTTGCAGATGAATTCATTGAACCCATTACTAGTGAACAATTATCTCTAGAACAAATTTACAACGCTGATGAAACTGATCTTTTCTGGCAATTTGTACCACGAAATACCTTGGCAACCTTTACAGAAAAGGCTCCAACTGGTATCAAAGATTCCAAAGTGAGACTAACAATTTTAGCATGCACAAATGCTGCAGAAACGCACAAGTGCAAACTTTTCGTAATCGGAAAACATACACGACCTCAAACATTTAAAGGAGTAGCGATTTTCCCTGTTATACATTGCACAAATAAAAGAGCATGGATGACACAAGCGTTGATGAATGATTGGTTTGAAAATCATTTTATACCCGAGGCTTGGCGACATTTGAATTCAGTTGGTTTACCTGATGACTCAAAAATAGTCCTGATTGTTGACAACTGTTTGGCACATACTTCACTTAAAGTTTAGTGAAAGATAATGTATCCGTATTATTCTTCCCTCCAAATTGTACGTCTATCATTCAGCCTATGGATATGGGAATAGTGCACATGCTGAAATGCAAATATAAAATAGCATTTTTAAAATCTATGTTAAATTTCTTGAACAATGGCAAGACTATTCAAGACTTTTTGAAATTTTTTAGCATAAAATCTGATGTTTGGAGCATTACAAGATCGTGGGAGGATGTGTCTCCAGATACGTTAAAAAATGCTTGGCATAATTTATGGCCAGCTACCATATTTCATGGTGAGGATGATGAACATGATAGCCGTGAATTTGAAGGTTTTCGGACATCACAAACTAAAGGTAAAATTTTCCAGTTATTGGATTTTGTAAAGAAATGTGGAGAATCGATAATGAATGAAGATAATATAATATAACAGAAGTTTTTCATTGCGATGATAATGCCCTAATTATCAGTCAATTAATGGACTGAAATCTGTACTATGGTTCTAGATCCAGAAAATACTGTTTCCAATAGGTGGAACTTTGTAACTGAACAAGAAATGATGTCTGTTTATGGAATTAAAGAAAAAGTATTAGCACAAAAAACAAAGCAATTTAAACAACTTGCATTGAAAGAAATGTTTAATAAGTAAACAAATAAATATTAAGCTTTTTTTTTTTTTTTGTAAATTTTGATACCCTTTAGATCGTAATTGCTGTTTATTTCATAAATTACAGTTTCATACTTTTAATTGCGTAATTTCTGAATGCCATCTTACCAGATTTAAATTGATGATCTATAATCCGGAAAAACCCCTAATCCGGAATTGCCGAAGTCCCGACGAGTCCGGATTATGGATTTTGTACTGTACTATGTTACCCTTAAAAAAATTAAGATGAAAAAAGTTAGTTAAAAAATGAAATTTTTTAAAGCTTATAGATGGAAATTTACCAAACATGCAGTATTTATTAATTGTACATCGCTGTTTGAATATCAAAGTACTTGCATGTCCTTCATCTAATATGGAGATTGATTGTAAAAAGATAAGTCTTCCCTCACTGAATAGCTTACTAAACACATTTTTAACAATCTTATGTTGACTATGCATAGTCATGTTATGCATTTTCATCTCTGAAGGTGATAACCTAGTCATTGCATATGTTTTCAAAGCTTGTTTGAATCACTTGCTCTATTTCTTTAGTATGTTATTATATATACTATGTAGTACCATTTAATTTTTATGATACGTTTTCTATAATTATGGGTTTTCATACTTACTGAGTAATAAAGCTCCGTTCATTTTTCCCAAAATGAACATTTACTACTAAATTTTGAAGAATGTGCTAATTCTCATATGCATGAAAAAAGACATTTTATGGTTGTATAACATTAGTAAATATAGACAAACTACAAGAATGAATATTCGAAATTGGTTTGAACAAAATTATGAAACATATACAAAACCCATAAGATTAATTTATTGTTGCAGTAAGCAGCTAATGCCAATTAAGTTATAAAAAAGAACTGCAGATTGTAAATAAAACTTTAATAGATAGTTGTAATTAATAAGTAAATGTATATGAATGCAGGCAAAAGAACATAAAAATAATTAGTTCAGCATCATTATTGAAATGTATGATTAGAAAAAAACTGGATGATGATTATTTTTACATTAATGATGATTAGACTAATTATATCTCTCTCTCTCTCTTTTTTCCCCCTTTTTAAAAAAAAATGCCAAATGGTGTTTCTTACTAAAGGAAACCAGTAGTACAAAAGTATCAGTTAACACATAAATACCAATATCAATTGGAAAATTGGATGTAGACTGAGTGAATTATTTCTGTTTCAAACAGGCCAATGTAAAATATTTATTTTATGTACTTGAATAATTTTTTTCTTTTCCCAAATAGTAGTTGAGTAATCTTTTTTCTTTTTTAGTTATTTGGAAGTTATTTTTTTATAATTTTCATAATAGTTAATTTCTTTTGTGAAACATGACATTTTGTGACATACAAATCTGTTTTTGTTGCAGTGAATTCCCTGTACCGTTTAGTTGATGTCGACATTTGCCATTTTCGTCTTTGTGATAGCAAACTTTATGTATCTCGAGACAAACTTATTGATAAAGCTTTGGAATTAAACAGCATGCTTCAATATGAGTTCATTGCAGCCTCTGTAAGTGCTATGTAACCTATTGAAATGATAATAATTAGGAGCTTAATTGCTTCTTTTCTTGTTTTATATGCATAATAAAGGTTAAGTTTGATTATAAATATGAATAAAATTACATTTTGTTATTTACCAAGAGAATTATTTAGTAATATTTTTATGTAAATGAAAGGGACAAGTTGCAAACAATTAATTCGGGCCCACCAGCGGCCGAGCGGTAAAGTCGCTGAACACTGGTAGTTCGGTCCGAGGTTCGAATCCCGCGAACGGGCTGGCTGCATGGGTGTTTTCGTGGTTTTCCCCATGTGTAACGCGTATACAAGCCAGTTTCCCTTAGAAAGTCCTCCACGAAGGCATCCCTCCCTTTAGGCAGATAGCCCTAGCGAGCTTTGCCATAATTAAATACACAAACAATTAATTCCAATTTATTTGATTCTTTTGTGGCCATTAAATTTTATTCAGTAATGTGATAAATGTCTTCAAGTGTAAGAAGAGATTTGCTTAATTTGTTACATATTTTGTGAAAGGCCAGAGTGTAGTTGAATGAAAAATGATTCAATTTAGATTAAAAATTTTGTTCTGCAGCAGCAAATTTTACAAATCTGAAAATTCTAGATGAAATTTGAATAGCTCAAATTTAGCTTTAAATTATTGTCATTGTATATTCTTTATGATGGGCTGAAGTAAAACCTATGATTTAAAAGATTTTTGGAAACTCATCTGGAATATTTCTAGTTTATTCAACATGAATGAAATTCAAATTAATTTTTCTTGTATTTGTAATGCAATAAAAAGTGAAGGTAAATCAAGAATCTTTGTTATTTTGAGCTATAATTGCAAAAAATAGTTAATGGTTAAAAGTTGATAAAATTATGAAACATATACAATTCTGAAAAAGTAGGAATAATCAAGAGTAAACCTGAAGGAAGAAAAAATGATGCTGTGTTTTATTTCTTATTTTTGAAAAGCTTCTTATATTTTAATGAGTTAGTGTAATTCTATTATCTAATTTCCTTATTTGCTTATAATTAAGAAAGTATAGGTAGAATATTAAGAACATCAGCTGCAATATTTCAAATAAATTCATTTTATGTTTCTATTTTTGGCATGAGCTGTTTCAAATTTTATTTTCAGGCTGTACAATAAAGTTTCAATGATAAGTCTCTTGTTTAAGAAATAATAATAATGAAATAAAAGTAAAGAGAATCACATAAGAAAAAATTTGATTTTATTGTACATGGGGTTCTCGTTTAAAATATTTATCATGTATTTATACATATATTATATTTGTGTGCATTTCATGTTGAATTCATAGAATTTTCTTATCATTTTTGTATAAGAAAAATTCTGTAAATATTTTTTTTCTTTTAACTTTTCAAATTACAGATTTCGTAATTCAAAATATGTATGTATATTGAGAAATAACTTTTTCGTCCCCACAGCCATGTGCTGATGTCAGTCTGCTGCTAAACGATGTTCTGGATGAACTCATTGAAAAGGAATATCTGCATGTTGCTGGGGTATGTAATTCATTTCTTTTCTTCACCTTGTTCTTAATTTTTTAATTATTCTGTAAGGGAAAAAAAATTTTTTTTTTTAAAAATGATATAGTTTCTTGAATTTGTTTAGCATTTTCATATTTTTTCTATTAAGAAGATTAAAATCTAATTGATGAATTATGAAAATAAAATGTTGAAATCTGTATGTGAAAAATTTAAATGTATACAGTCAAAAGTCGTTAATTTGGACACAGATAATCCGGACCTCAAAGCTACAAACTTTCTGCGCATGTGTCGCTTTGACGCATGCGCATAGGCGTTTACGCCTGCGCATAAGAACTTTACGGCTGTGAATATGGGTGTGCGCATGCGCATAATACGTTTACGCATGCACGTTTAATGTATAACAGATGGTATAAACTAAGCTAAAATTATCTAATTCAGTTAATGTTGCAGATTGCGTTGTTCCTTAATCTTCAAATTGGATCCGGCTTATTATTTTTTGCAGACTGTTAGAGCAATTTTATAAAAGTAAGCTTGAACTTTCGATTATGTCAAATAGAATTTCCGATATATATTTACTAATATGTAAAAGATCTACAAAGCAAAAGTATGCTTTGAAATCCGAAATCTGTTTATCAATTTCACGCTGCTCTGCGGCAGGGGGGGGCAGCAGAACGCGGCAGCACGCAATGAATTGGAAGTTGATCTGTCAGCATTATCCTTATCTTCAGGGCAGATGTTTTTATTTTATTTGGCTTATAAAACCTTACTGAATGTAGTATTTTATCTGGATGTACACCGTCTTTGATATGATTTAAATCAAGTTCCTCATCATTATAATTCGCTTCCGATAGTGAAGAAAGTGACAGAGAGGTTATTGAAAACGAAAACATTTCGATTGACAAATTAGTCGGTATTCTCGACGCAGCAATTATAGGACTTGAACAGCAGTACTCTGTAACTAAACAAGAAATTATATCTGTTTAATAGAATTAAATAGAAAGTATTATCACATAAAATGAAGCAACTTAAACAACTTACATTGAAAGAAATGTTTAATAAAGTAAACAAATAAATATTAAGCTTTTTCTTTTTCTAAATTTTGATACCCTTTAGATCATAATTGTTCTTTATTTCATAAATTACGGTTTCATATTTTTAATTTTGTAATTTCTGCATGTCATCTTACCAGATTTAAACTGATGATCTATAATCCGGAAAAATCGATAATCCGGAATCGCCGAAGTCCCGACGAGTCCGGATTAACGACTTTTGACTGTGTATTAGTCATATAGATTTTATGCAAGCAGGGTCACCACACTACCTGGAAAACTGGAAAAAAGGCCAGGGCATTCAAAAATTGACTAAAAAGGTCAGGGAATTAAAATATTTTAGGCAAAATCTGGGAAAGTCGGACAGTTTCCGTATGGCAATTCCCAAAAAAGTGACTTTTGCAACAAAGTTGAAAACACTTTTTTGGTAAATTATGCATTGGGCGAGTTCAGGATATTTAACTTTTCGGTGATGTTAGCAGCGAAATCCTGCAACCAAACCGGATGTTCTAGTTCATGGAAAGATTTGCCTCTTTTTTTCATTTGGGGTGGTTTTGGTTTATTGAGATTATGGCAAAGCACTCTAGTGCTATCTGCCTAAGGGGAGGGGTGCCTTTGTGGAGAACTTTCTAAGAGAAACTGTCTCATATACATGTTACGCATGGGGAAAACCATGAAAACGCCTATGTAGCCAGCCCGTTCGCATTATTCGAACCTTGGATCGAACTATCAATGTTCAGCGACTTTACTGCTCAGCTGCTGGTAGGCGCCTCTTTCTTTCAAATTTTCTATTAAGGCAGGAAGCAACTCTTGAAAAACATTGTAAAACTCTGCCTTTACTCAACCAACGAACTTCCATATGAAGCACTAGATCACCATACTGGCAATCCAGTTCATCAGTCAGTGCTCTTAACAAACTTCTCTGGATTGCATGTTCTCTAACTTTGTTCACTGTTTTTATGACTATTTTCATTAAATTTTTCATATTTGAAAACTTTCCACACAGTGATTTCTGGGTGTATATGCAATTGTAAGACAGAAATTTCGAAAGCTGTTGTCTTTATGACATAAGGTTATGAATCCCTTCTCTGTGTCTACTATTACAGGAGCTTCATTACTTGCTAAGTCTATCAACTTAATTATACGAATATTTTCAGTGTTGCTAACATCTTTAACTGCTAAAAATATGTCCTGCCTTGTAGTTCCATTAATGGTGTAATCTTTACGAGCTCTCTCTTATTTTGAATTATCAAAATCAATTCTTGCAAAAGTGGCCAACTGAGCTGTATCAACTATATCTGTCAAGTTGCAGGGAGAATAGCTGCAATGATCAAAGCCAGTTTTAAGTTGCGAGGTAACATCAGAATTCTCAACCTCAACCCTTCTCATTATTGTATTTGCAAAAAGCTGTACACATTTCATAGCAGATATTAACTCAGTTTTATTTTTGAAACTATCAAACAATGCATCTGCAGCTTCTAAAAATGCAGTTTTGATTATTTCACAGTTTTTGTGTGGTTTCTTATTCTGAGCAATATTTAAAACTCAATAATACCTCAGTTGCTGCTTTATTCTTGTTTAATGGTTTTCAAAAAGTTAATTGTTGAGCTTTAAGTTGAGATTTTAACTGCCTTTCCTTTGAGCAGAATTCAGTGGAAAATCCTTTTCAGTGCCTGTGTGATTGAAGTGACATTCGATGTTCCCTTTCTTCTTGACCGATACACTTGCAACATACACATTTGTCCTATATCCAGGTAGAGAAGTAATCAGTTTCCCATTCCGAATGAAAGTGGTACATTTTTTGCTCTTTGCTTGAACATGCCATCATTAGAATAGACTTAGCTTAGTACCAATGTTTAAATCAAACTATTCAAGTTGACAAATGTCTAATAAACATGTGAAAAACATAATGTGCACCTCATGCAGATACAATCAACTATGAGAAAGGGTTGAAAATTTAAGTTGCGTGGGGAAAATAAGAAGTTGTCAGTGTCAGATCAGTAGAGGAATTAAAGTTAGCCAGCCAAAGCGTTAACGTGATCTATCAAAAATGTCCTTGTGAGCTACTACTAGCTCGTGATTGATGGTTTGGCGATCACAGAAGTTGATAATTTAAAAGAAGTTGCAGATTTTTATATTGATATAGCATTGGGAGAAATTGCAAAATTAAAAAATATGAATGGGTGCATTAAATACAAAGTACAGTTAAAAGTCGTTAATTCGGACACCCATAATCCGGACCTCAAAGCTACAAACTTTCTGCGCATGTGTCGCGTTCACGTATGCACACAGGCGTTTACGAGAGCGTGTAAGACTCTTACGGCTGCGAATATGTTTGTGCGCATGCGCGTTTAAATTGTAACGGAGTTATACGCTAAGCTAAAGTTATCTAATTCAGTTAATGTTGCAGATTGCGTTGTTCCTTAATCTTCGAATTGGATCCGGCTTATTATTTTTTGCAGACTGTTAGAGCAATTTTATAAAAGTAAGCTTGAACTTTCGATTATGTCAAATTGAATTTCCGATATATATTTACTACAAAGCGAAAGTATGTTTTGAAATCCGAAATCTGTTTGTCAATTTCACGCTGCTCTGCGGCAGAGGGGGGGGGCAGAAACGTCATTATTAAATTATGATAGATTAGAAAGATTATGTCATATAGAATTTCCGATATATATTTACTAATATGTAATTTGTATCTACAAAGCGAAAGTATGTTTTGAAATCCGAAATCTGTTTATCAATTTCACGCCGCGGATTGGAAGTTGATCTGTCAGCACTATCCTTATCTTCAGGGCAGATGTTTTTATTTTATTTGGTTTATAATTCCGTACTAAGTGTAGTATTTCATCTCCGTCTTTGATATGATTTAAATCAAGTTCCTCGTCATTATAATTCACTTCCGATAGTGAAGAAAGTGACCCAGAGGTTATTGAAAATGAAAACATTTCGATTGACAAATTAGTCGGTATTTTCAACACAGCAATTATAGGACTTAAACAGCGGAACTTTGTAACTAAACAAGAAATTATGTCTGTTTAATAGAATTAAAGAGAAAGTATTATCACATGAAATGAAGCAACTTACATTGAAGGAATGTTTAATAAAGTAACCAAATAAATATTAAGCTTTTTCTTTTTGTAAATTTTGATACCCTTTAGTTCATAATTGTTCTTTATTTCATAAATTACGGTTTCATATTTTTAATTTTGTAATTTCTTCATGCCATCTTACCAGATTTAAACTGATGATCTATAATCCGGAAAAATCGATAATCCGGAATCGCCGAAGTCCCGACGAGTCCGGATTAACGACTTTTGACTGGATTGCCTATTATAATGCTTACTTCTTTAATAATACCTCATTTAAATGCAGCTTACAAAAGAATTTTTTCTTATTATTAAAAAAAAAAAAAAAAAAAAAAAAGAGAAGGCTGAATTTTGACCGAATTATGTATGAAACTCTTGAAGCAGTTTTGATTGAAAAGAGAAAATAAAGGCCTGTACTATGGGGGGGGGGGGACATTTTCTAATTCAGAATTTAAGCACTTACTAAGCATGTTACCTACAAATCTTGGCATTCATTATTTATGAACAAATTATAAGTAGTTTTATGATTATTTCAGTGCTATTGTTGTGTGTCTACAATTTAATTTTTTTTAAATTTTATTTCCATGTAGATATTAGACTCTAGAAACCTCATAAAGATATATGATTTATGGATTCTGGTTTCCTCTATGATCATTAGTGAATTAAAATATTTGCTTCAATAATATATTAATTGATTGTGATATTTCTGCTTGGGTAGTAAATTTCTGCTTGGGTAGCGCCATCTGTGATCATTTCTGATTAAATATGCATATTATTAATATGCAATTTCTAATTAAATATGCAATTTACAAAAAGTATTTTTAATTATTCATTGTTTTTATGTTAAATTAATTACATTTAACATAAAAACATTAAA